CAGCACGGGAAAAGAGGCCCTGGGGGCCGAGCAGAAGAGCTTCCACACACAGGGCCCCGCCTGGGCCACAGGAAGGACCCGGGCAGGGAGTCAGGAGACCTGCACATTTGTCTGGGCACTGCCACCCACTCCCTGCACATCCTTGGGTGAGTCAGACCACGTGCCCGTTGGAACACAGCCTCAGTGACTCAGTGTTCCCAGCTATAAAGTGGGAGAGGCAGAAGAACTTTCTCACTCTGTCTCCCTGCTGCTCCGGAGCGCCAGGTGCGAGGAGGCTTCCTGAGGGGCTGGACACCCTGAGGGACTGTCCGGTTGGGCCCTGCACCTGGGCGGGGGCAGCGGGGGCTTCTGGGGTGGGCACTGGGTCAAGAAGGATTCAGGCCACTGCGTCAGGAAAACGTCTCTAGAGAAGGTGGTGAGGCCTCTTGGGAAAAGCTGGGCAGCTCTCTGGGACGGCTGGGGGCAGCCCAGAGGCCTCCTTAGCGTATGCAGGGCCTTCTAGAATCCATTTCGTGGGCCCTGGACTCGGATCCTAAAAGACACGGGCTCTGGTCAAAAGGCCTGGATTTGAGCCCAGGTTGCCCCACCCTGCCCCACCAGTATCTGACCTTGGCCAGGTTGCCCCCTCCTCCAAGCCTCAGTGTCTTCGTCTATACAACTGAAATATAGTAGCTGCCCTGCCTGCTGCTGTGGGGATTAAATGAAACGGTAAGCCGAGAGCACTCAGCGCACTCACAGATACACGGTGAGCTGCGAGTACGTTTTTATTGTAGCTGCTTCTCACTTCCTGTGCTGTGTTTTTGCACCTCTGGTTCTTTCCTTTCCCCTTAAGATTTCTCCGTAGAACACAGAGCATCTGATAAACTGGGTCCCAGGAAGGTGACCACTCAAGAGCCACCCTTCTGTGGGGATCTGTTCTTAGCAAGTACCACCCCAAACCTGGAAGAGGCCAGGATGCATGCTAACTGCATGCGTGAAGCACCGTTCCACACGCCTGCCCCTGAAAATGTGCCATTGTGACTTTGTTAGTTCCTATTAATTCAGGGTACAGACCCTGTGAAGTTGCTTGTTAACTTGTAGATTTGTGTCCAGTAGAAAAAATAACCCCAAAGTTGACTGTTTGTTGTCCAGGAGCACATTCGTGGCCACAAACCATGTAGGGATTAAAATGCAGGTTCTGATTCAGTAGGTCTGGGACAGACCTGGACTCTGCATTTCCAATACAGAGTTGCACAGTGCTGTTGACACTGATCGTCTGAGGACCACACTTTGAGTAGCAAGGGCCTGGTCCAATCCCCCAACTTTGTCTCTTGGAATCCCCTTCTAAGTCCTGATGGGGGTTGAAATAAGATCACAGGGAGAGGGCAATGCTTGACCGAGAGCAGTGATCTCACCCTGGTGGCCTTTCAGGCCCGTGCAGGCTCTGGGCGGGGTTGGGCACTACGCATCCTCTCTCGGGTCAAGCACGCTGGCTCCTGGCCACCCCACTTAGGGAAAGCCCCAGTCTTGTGAGGGTCTGTAAAGACCAAAGTGAGGAAGACTTTCTGCTGTTTTTCATTCCCATAGAAGCAACCTTTCCTGGTGGGAAACACAGGTATTTACCAGAGGACCTGAACTTGAGCTGGGAGGTGACCACATCAGACAGTAGCTCTCTCACAAGTGGAGGGCCCCAAGCATCAGCGTGCATCATTCAGCCATTCAGCAAATATACACGTGCCAGGCATTGCTCTAGGGGATACAGCAGAGACCACGACACACCGAGATCCTTCCTTCACGGAAATTTTATTCTAGCGGGAGTAGACAGATAATTAGCAATAGATATAATAAGTAAATTACAGGGTCTATTGGATGAAAAGCACTATGAATAAAAGAAAAAGTTGAGAAGGTTCAGGAAGATAAAAGTGGCTGGGCTGGAATGGAGCAGGCTGCAGTTGGGTGGTTAGGGTAGGCCTTGGTTGGAGCAATGACTGGAAGGAAATAAGGGAGTCGGCCAGGGGAATATCTGGGGCGGGGGGCAAATGCAAAGGCCCCAGGGTGTGAGCATATTGGGCTGCCGAGGAGCAGCTGGAAGCCAGTGTGTTTGGAGTGTGAAAGACACCGGAGAAGTAACAGAGGACAGATGATGCCAGGCCTTGAAAACCATTGTAAGACCTTGGCTTTTACATTGAAGGAAATGGACAGCCACTGCTGGACTTGGAGCAGGAGAGTGCCTTAGGATTTAAAAGGATCCTCTGGGTGTTGGATGAAGAATAAATAGGGACTTTTTAAGGTGCAGGGGTATGGCCCTAATTCCAGAGTCTGGTTTACTGGGGGCTCAGGCGGGCCTGGGAATCTGCATCTTTAAAAGCACCCATGATCGATTATCTTGTAAACAGTGTAGAGAAGTGTTACCACGCCCTGCACAACTCCAGGGGGCACGCTCTCGTTGTTTTCTTTCTGAGATGCACTGCGAATGACAGCCCTGTAATGGGCACCGAGGCAGTCCCACCGAGGCCACCCTGGAAGGCACCCTAGCTTAAACGCTTTCACCTGCAGGAAGGAGGGTGCCGGCTGCCTCTGCTGTGTGGATTTGGACGTACACGTAGAGCAGCACAGGCCCCAGGTGGCTCCTGGCCAAGGCCTGGAATTCTTCATCATCCCACGCGGTTAGCCGTCCTCCAAGGCCTGCGGTGAACCTTTGTAGAGTCCTTAACTATGAAGGTGGAGTGGGCGGGAGCTGTCAGTCTTCTCGTGCCCGTGGGACGGAATCTCCCGTGCAGACGCGCTCCGGGGATGTGCAGCACGCAGCTCTGCGTTGCCCCGAGGAGGAGGCCAAGCTCGTGCTGGGCACTAAAGGCTGTGCCCACACAGGGCGGCGTGAGCAGAGGTGCGCGGAAGCTCTCAGGTGTGTGAAATGGGCGTGAGGCTGATGTGCTGACCCACCTCATCTGTTGCTAACCCTGTGGCATTAGGGAAGGCTGTGTTGGCACCCACTTTGCAGATGAGGAAAGTAAAGGGTCAGAGAGGCCTTTTCACAGGAATGTGATGAGAAAAGGACCGTGTCAGCTGGAGACAGCGATTGACCACTTCTCCTGTCCCTGCCGCCTTCCTCGGAGGCCTGGGGCTCTTGGCAAAGACCCTAGGCTTGCAGCGGCAAAGCAGCCCAGGTGAAACAAACCCCAGCCCTGCTCCTTCCCAGTCCTGTGCCAACCCCCTCCCTCCCCCCAGAGCCTGTTTCCTCATCGTAGAGTGGGTACCAAGAGGGCTGTTGCTAACAGGAAAAGAGAAAACGCCCCAGTGCCTGCCCAGTGCCAATGAACACGGGGAGCTCTGTGGTGCTTGCTCTTCTTGGGCCTGACGCAGCTGGGCTGTGTCCCCTCTCTCAGGCATGGATCTGGCCTGCCTGGTCCTGAGACACGGAGCGCATGGTCTGTCTGCTCACGTGCCGAGAGTTTTTCCTGCCCAGTGGCCCCGAGTCATGCCCTTTTCCCAGGCCCACCCTCCTGGCCTTGGCATCTCGCCCAAGTCCCCGCTGAAACCTTCTAGGGCAGCTGCCAACTCTTGCCCTGCCAAGAACTGCACCCTGTCCCTCAGGACTGGCTTGCTGCAAAGCAGGGCTGTGGGGTCCAACACGGTATTTTAGGGAGGCTCACAATCAAAGCCCTCCAGCCTCGCACAGCTTACTGTCTACGTTAACTTCATTCTTCCCTCCGACCATTCTCTCCGACATGACTGTACTATTCCAGGAAACTTTGCCCAGGAAGTAAAAGTTGTAAATATTAACAACTTTATTGTTCATTCCAGGAGCTCTCTGAAAGAATCATTTAAAGTAACATCAAACTGCTCAACTCTTCGTTGCATCAAAAGACTCTTGAACCCTTTGCCTCAAAATTCCCCCTTGCCATGTCCACCTATCCTATAAACTATGTCATGAGCTTGACCCAATCCTAATCAAGCCTTCCTCCCCATGCCTTCAAAGCCCCACCTAACACCAGACTCCGAAATCTGCTCTCTTCCTGACTGCCCTCCCAGTCGGACACACGAGAGAAGAGGCAGAGCCGTTGCTCACGGCAGGAAGGGCAAGACCAGCTTTGTCTGGCGAGCAGGCTGAGCTGGTGGACTCTGGGGACCCAGCATCCAACAGGACACCGCGCAGCGGGGAGTCCTCTCTGCCCTTTGGGCTGGGGAGCGCAGCACCCTGAGTCTAGGCTGATCCGTAGGGGAAGTTCAAAGTGACAGCAGGGCCCTCAGAAGTGGAGAAATAGTGACCATGGGAGTTCCAGAAAGCCCTTGGGGATCTCCTGGTGCAGCCCCTTCGTTTTACAGACAGGAAACAGGGCCTGCAGAGGAACGAGATTTATCTAAATCACAAAGCTAGCTAGGCTTGTTACAGGGATTAAATGAATTAATATCGGTACTGTGCTTACACATTGCCTGTCTAAGCACATCATCCACTAAGCTCTGTATGTGTTTGTTAAATAAAAATAATGGAGTGTCTGGCCGAAAACTCAAGGCAAACTTAAGCTAGTCTCCCATTTAAAAAACAAAACCCACCTTTAACCTTAAACCCAGCACAGTGGCTCTCTAACGTGAGCACGCCTCAGAACCACCTGGAGGGCTTGTTAAAACAGTTTCTGATCCTGCACATCCGGGATGGGGCCAAGAACCTACATTCTAATCAGCTTCCTGGAGGTCCTGATGCTGCTGGTCTAGAGACTCCTCTTTGATAACCAGGGACCCAGAGGGACAAATTAAGGGTGTAATTTCTGGCACCACTGAGGGAGAACTTTGGAGACAGTGGGTCTCCTCAGCCCTCCCAGGTATAGTTCCCCGCCGCAAGTCTTGTGCCAATTCTGCTTCACCCTGCCTGTGCCCACCTGTGGACAACCCGAGTGTCCCCCCAGGCTAGCTTTCTCTACCTTGTGCTTTCAACACAAGCGGCAGCCCTCTTGCCTGCAGGCTGGTTTGACAGCCAGGCTGCAGGAGGTTTGTACAGCAAGAATGAACCAAACACCAACCAGGCAGATGAAACCAACACATTCTTTATTGCAGACTGAAGCTAAGAGGCTTACTCACACAGTGAGCTCTGATCTGGGGGCTTTTCTGACTGCCCAAGTTTTCCCCGAGAGTCAAGGGCAACTCTCCCAGCAGAGTAGAAAACAACTTCCAGAAGCAACCCCTCCAAAGGGTCCGAGTCGAGGACCTGGGTAAGCAGGCGGCTTGGCATGCAGGGGTTACCAGAAAGGCAGGGTCCAGAGGGTTGGGCACACCCAACCCTCACCTCCTTGTGACTGTGGGTCACTCCCTTCCTTGGGAGTGTCAGGACTAAGACTCTGGAAAGATCTAAGAGGCCAAGGATCTCCCACGGCTGGGTTAGGGAAGGAGCTGAGCAGACTCAACTCCCTGGAGGTGGCAGGGGGAAAACTGAGAGAACATTCATCCTCTGCTCCAAGGTCATCCCCAGGGTCACCCTGAGGCCCTTGCTTCCCGAATTGTAAAGTGCTTGTAGGAGTCAGCTGGGGATCTTGCTAAGGCAGTTCTGGTGAGAGTTCTCTGAACCACAGGTGTTACCAGGAAGCAAGAGTCCCAGGCCTTCTCTTGGCAGGGGACCGACCATCCTGCCAGGCCAGGGACCCACAGGGCTGAGGATGGGCCCTGCAGAGGGTCGAATCCAGGGGCCCGAGACTCTGCATTTCTAACAAGCTCCCCGGTGACACTGCTGCTTCCTGTCCACAGACCACACCTGGAGTGCAAGGCTCTGGCCACACTTTGTGCATATCACAAAAGTGTGCGTCTTTTTCAACAAGGAGAAACCCCACACCAGGACACAGGGTGGGTGGGCCCGTCCAGCCTGGACAGGACTTCAGCCTCTACTTGCCCCCCACATCCACAGCTGGACTCGGGAACCCTGGAGATCCTGTCTTGACCGCCTGACCCTGAACATCCTTTCCCAGAGTTTGACCAAGCAACCTTGGGATACGAACGGAGTGAACAAGTCTCTCTTGGACACAGAGCCAACATTGGCCCAACCAGTCAGCTCCATGCCAAGAGACAGGAGACCTGGGCAGGGGGAAGGGAGCTGGAGTGTTCTGAGAAGGGCTTACTGCACTTAGCAGTGGTCCGAGCTCAGAACAGCTCGGTAAAGTAGCTACTGGCCTCCAGAACGCAGGATTTGGGTGGCCTGGCTTTGTCCCGAGTCCTGGGGCCTCAGGTGCCTCTACAGACCCAGACAGAGGTGCAGACCAGGTGGGGTCTGGGCACTCTGAGTCTGCTTGCTCCACGGAGGAGAAGGTGGGAGGTAGATACCTGGCGGACCAGAGGTGAGGGTTCTCCAAACCACAGGTGTTACCAGGAAGCAAGAGCCCCAGGCCCTCTCCTGGCAGGGGACTGACCATCGGGGACCCAAAGGGCTGAGGATGGGACCTGCAGAGGGTCGAATCCAGGTTGGTTCTCAGGAAGCAATAAATAGATGGAGGTTGTCTTCTACTCCTCTCAGGCAGCAACTGGCTTTCAGTACTAGAAACAAGGCCTCAAAGCCGCAGGGGCCCAGAAAACGCTCAGCAGTGCCCCTCTGTGGGCTCAGAGCTGCCGATGATTTGGAGGTAACGTGGAGGCATGTACTGCCTGAACAACCTCCAAGGCACCCAAAGGAGGCAAAGGCTCCCTGCCCTTTCTCCAAGTAACAAGGCTCAGAGAGGGCAGGAGATCTGTCCAAGTTTGCACAGCAGCTGTGAGTGCCCAGAGTCCAGGCTGCAGCCCCCACGTCACCTCCTCCCTCAACATTCCAAGTCCACTACTGCCGCAAGCTACCTATCCTGGACTGGCTGCACCCCCGCCCACCACGTGCTGTGCGGCCCACCCGCCCCCAGCCCCCCAAGCTTGGCCTCCCATGGGCCCGTGGGCCCCCCTTCCTTCAGGGTGCCAGGCCGGTGGCCTCTGTCCCTTGCTGGGTGGGCATGAGGAGGGTGGCCTACAGCGGTGGGGCCCTGGCGCCCTCCGGAGACATGAGCATGTCAAACTTGATGAGTGGCGGCGCGATGACGCGCACCTCGGCGCTGAGCGGGTTGAAGCGGAGGTTGATGCAGCGCAAGGCTGGCATGGCGGCCAGCTTCTCCACGGGCACATCTGTTGGGGACAGAGGGGACAGGTTAGAGGGGCTGGGGTAAGGAGCAGGCAGAGAAGAAGGACGTTGGGCCAGGAAGACTGTGAGCACACGGTGGTGTGGAGCAGCTCTCCAACACCCCACGCATGTGGGCTCAGCTCTCGGTGCCCAGCCCTGTGCGAGGGGCCACCGTGGCCACCAGGATACTACAAAGACATGGACGAAAGCATCCTAAAATATAAGGACCAGGCTTCTCAAAAAGCTAAACATAGGATTGCTGTATATCCCAGCATTTTTACTCCTAGGCAGAGCTGAAAGAATTGAAAACAGGTATTCGGACAAATATTTTACATACATGTTCACAGCAGCACTACTCACAACAGCCGATGACCGGATAAACAAAGCGTGGCGTAGACATGTGATGGAGTATTATCCCGCCATAAAAAGAAACGAAATTCTGACACGTGCTACTACATGGAGGAAGCTTGAATGCATTGTGCTAATGAAAGGCAGGCACAAAATGACAGACACCATGTGATTCCACTTACATGAGGCAGCTAGAGTAGTCAAACTCATGGAAGGAAGCAGGAAGTAGAACAGAGGTGACTAGGGGATAGGGAGTGGGGAGTTATTGCTTCATAGCTACAGTTTCTGCTGTGGTGATGAAAAAGTTTTGAAAATAGATAGTGCTGATGGTTGCAAAACATAGTGAATGTAATGTCACTTAAGGAGTATGCTTAAAAGTGGTTAAAATGGCAAATTTTATGTTATGTGTATTTTATCACAACTTAAAATTTTTTAATTTTTTTTTTAATTTTTTTTTTTTTTGAGACAGAGTCTCGCTTTGTTGCCCAGGCTAGAGTGAGTGCCGTGGCGTCAGCCTAGCTCACAGCAACCTCAAACTCCTGGGCTCGAGTGATCCTTCTGCCTCAGCCTCCCGGGTAGCTGGGACTACAGGCATGCGCCACCATGCCCGGCTAATTTTTTATATATATATCAGTTGGCCAATTAATTTCTTTCTATTTATAGTAGAGACGGGCTCTTGCTCAGGCTGGTTTTGAACTCCTGACCTTGAGCAATCCGCCCGCCTCGGCCTCCCAAGAGCTAGGATTACAGGCGTGAGCCACAGCGCCCGGCCACAACTTAAAATTTTAATAATGTAATGTGTCAAAAACCACTGAAGTGTATATTTTAAATGAGTGAATTGTATAGTATGTGAATTATATCTCAATAAAGCTATTAAAAAGCAAAGAATATTATGTGCATGAAGTTAATAATCTTGCTAAGAGAGAGGAGGCTGCATACAGTGACCTATGGAAATTCTTCTTTTCTTTTCATTTTTTTTAATCCATAGACTCTGCTTGATATGGGAATTCTTCTTAACTATGGGAATGCAATTCTTTATCACATCGTCTGGTCCATCATGACCCTGAAGAGTCCCCAAGGAGGAGGCATGTCTACCCCGGGTCTAGCTAAGGGAGGTTAGTTAAAAATTAAACTTAATCAGGAATCTTGATAATGCATCCTTCCTGCATCGCTGCCCCATAAGAGCTATCTGGGAAGTTCCAGACTATATTAATTTGGATCATCAACCAGAGATTGACTGTTATCTGCAACCAAAATAAGGTTTTCTCTTGTTACAGCTCTAGTTTCCAAAATATTATGTGTAGAATTTGCAAATCAAGTTTCAAATTGTCATCTACTTAACTTATAAAATAATACTAGGGCATTTCCCAAAGCTCATCAAAAATGCCGCATTGTAACATATGTAAGGTAATGATCTACTAGTTAACTCAAGGGCCAATATTTTGAGTTATAAGTGAAGAGGCCATGTAGCCTAATGTCACAGACTTAGGACTTAACAGACAGGCCTGATCTGAAGCCCAACTTTACCCTGTACTAACTTTTATTGCCTCCCTGTACTTTAGTATCCTAATCTTGAAAAGGGAAATAATGAATTCTCCCTCAAACAGGTGGTGTGAGAACTAAATTGGGCAGTGACTACTTAATGGGTATGGCTTCTCTTTTGGGGTGATGGAAGTGTTTTGGAACTAGACAGAAGGTACTGGTTGTGCAACTAGTGAATGTACTAAATGCCACCAATTGTACACTTTAAGTGGTTAATTTAAGTGGTTCATTCTATGTTATATGAATTGCATCTCAATTTTTTTAAAGAAAGGACCAGAATAAGGCAGCAGCTGTATTAACACTTGACAACACTTTGGTTCCTCCCACCTAACCTTCAGGATCACTCAGTCTGCACTTCAGTTCCCAGATCTGCCATGTGACAGCCGTGTGGCCAAAAGCAAATTATGAAATTCATACTAGGGTAACAATACTATTACTGTACATACCTCACAGGACTGCTTCAGGATGAATAAGACAATCTATGTACTCCACACGGCATTGAATGAATGGTAGATACTATCATTAAAGGACACAAGGCCCAGAGAGGTCAAGTAACTTGCCTAAGGTCACCAGGTCATAGTAAGCTGAGTCCAGATTTGATTCTTTGTGGTCTCCATACAAAGGAAAAATTTTATAACGAATATTTTGTAAACAAAGGCACATTTAGTTACAATTTCCCATTTTCCCTGCATATGGCGACTTTTGGAACACCCTATAGTGTAAGCAAGAGCGTTCTCCTCTCTCCCACTTGCCTATTTATTATCAGTATGGCTCTTATGTTTCTAGTGGCTTATAATTCATTATTGTATCTCATTATTTTGATGCTCAAATTGTCCCAGGTTTGGCCAGTGGGAGACCCTCAGTCTGGCTCCTGTGTCTTTTGACATGGCCCCAGCAGATTTGGGATATGACTCAACTTCTGCCCCAGCCCTGGAATCAGCCATTTCTCCAAGAAGTCCTGGTTCCTTTCCTTAGGGAAGGGCATTAGTGACCAATAGTGACAGTGCCACTGATTAAGCCATGCTTCACAACCCATCCACAAGGCCCGTGAGCACCAACTAGACAGCTTTGACTGCTGTCTAGTGTATATAGCACGGTGTGTACCTCCCACACTCTGCCCCTCTGCTCTGCCAGCGATGACACCCAGGTGGCCTCTGTCTGTCCTTAGGGGCTGGTGTGGAAAAGTCTTTGGATGTGTGCCCAGGAGCAGGACTGACTGCTCCATTGAAGGATTCATGTGCATACTTCCTCTAACTGCTCTCTAGAACTCCTGTGGTCTACCAGGAGCTCGGTACCCGCCTCACTGCAAGGGCTTCCAGGGAGGCCTCGACCTGCCTGTCCCCCCTCCAGGCTGACACACACTAAGGCCCTGACCTTCAGCAAGGTTCCTGCAGCCTCCTCCCTCCCCTGCCGGGAGCCTCATGGTGAAGGCTGAAGGCGGGCTGCTGTCCTGCCCTCAGGGCTTGGCAACTGGGATGTGGCTCCACCCCAGCCGTCCGGGGGAGATGGGGAAGGGGGAGGGGAGGCCACTGGCCCAGGAAAGCCCCTCGTATGTGTGTATGCACTTCCACGGGTGATCACAAAGCACTTCCACGTGTGATCCCCCTCGGCCACAGGGGCAGTGCAGCGCAGGGCTCCTCTGCCCACTTTGCAGAGGGGGAAACTTAAGAGCATGCAGCTGTTAAGAAACAGCTGTGCCCTGAGTTTGCTGACAGCTGGTTCACATCATGCTCCAGTGTCCCATGTTCGTGCCCGACTGGATGAGGTGGGCATGGGAGGGGAGAAAGTAACTTGGCAGGCGGTTCTGACCTATGGGAGCTCTCAGCACCATGGGAGTTTGCAGGGATGTGGGCCTTCCAGAGCACTCTGCTGGGTTGTTGCTGATGGTGGTTTTTTAGGTGTTAATAACATGTGTTTCACGCTTGCTGACTTAAGCTCTTTAATGTATTTAATCCTCACAATAGCTGTCTGAGTTGAGTGCTACTATCTCCGTCTCACAGATGAGGAAGATGAAGTGCGGAGAGATCGAGTCCTTTGTCCAAGGACACAAGCTGGGAAGTGCTGGAGCCAAGCTAAGAAGCCAGGCCGGCCTCACAGCCCGCCCCCACCCCCACCCCACCACTCTCCGTGGCCCTCAGATAAGGGAGATAGAAAACAGTCTTGCCCAGGGCTGCAGGGACCCAGCAGGAGTGTCTCTGGCTTCCCCTGACCAAGATGCTCACCCACCGCCACCTGGGCCACCTGGCCAGTCCCTCCCGAGCCCAGGGCTCCGCGCTGGGGACACAGGGCAGGAGTCACAGAACCTCCAGGCCCTGTAATGTCCCCATGACAGTCACTTCCTTGCTGACCTGCCCAGAGAGAAAGGGTTTCCTGGAGATGTTCTCAAATTCATTCCAGAGTCTTCCAGGCCTTTTTGTTTCTGCTGTGGGTCACAGCGCAGAACAAACCTATCTCTTCTTGTCCATGACAACACTTCTGAAACCTGTAGCTCAGCAAATGCCACCACCTTCTACAGGCAAAGGCCCCCAGAGCCTTCCCTTCACGTGATATTTGGGGGAGTGGGTGCACAGTAGTGAGACGCCCGTGATCTGGAGTCAGAAAGGTGAGCCTGGCTTTTCCAGTGACTGCCTGTGTTGCCTTAGGCAGGACCTCTGAACCTGAGCTCTCTCACCTATATGAGGTCACACTGCCCGCCCTTCAGGGAGGCCATGTGAAATGGACAAGACCCCTGTGTGCAGTGTGCCAGCAACACGCATTCAACAAGGCCAGGCCCCTTGCTCCCTGCCACTAACATGGGGACCACCGAGCACCACCCCCAGATGCCCAAGGCAAGCCCTTGGGCCTCAGTCAGCAGCATCCCAGCCTGAGTTCACCACTGAGAGGGCCTGGATGCCAGATCACGTGGACAGGGAAGAGGTGGTGAGCCTCAGCTTTCTCCTGAAAGTGCCACAGCTCCCTGAGCCCCTCACCACCATTCACCAAAGGACAAAAGCCCCAGATGTGGCCTCCACTGAGAGCTGAGAGGACCGACTGCCACTCTTGTTTGTGGCCAGGGTCTGTACAGGTCATGGCAGGGACCATCAGAGCTGGGAGGGCCCTCAAGTTGTGGAAACTG